AGAGAAGAACTCGAGAAGATGTGGAAAGTAGTCCATATTTGGTCCATATTAACATGACAGCATCACACAGTTGTTGCAGATTTGTGAGCTGCACATGTACAATGTGACTCCTGTTCCATCCCATCCCAAAGGTGCTCTATTGGATTGAGATCTGGTGACTGTGGAGGTCATTTGAGACATTGTCATTCAGGATGGATCTCTGCTTCCATGCTGTTTACACCAAGACTCATCATATCAGTCAACATGTTTCTAATTTTTCTGTCGTCCACTTTGGAGAAACCTGTGAAACAGCTCAATTTTCTACTCTTAGCTGCCAGGAGTGTCTCCTTATGTGGTCCTCTTCTGCTCCTTTTGGACCATTCTGTATAAATCCTAGAGACGATTGTGCAGAAACTCCCCAGTAGAACAGAGTTGCTGTGTGATTGACTGATAGATAATGAGCTAAGAATTTGAGCCTGGTGCACCCTATTGTATAACTGGGAAGGGAAGGCAATGTCAAGAACAGGAAATTCGTTACGAAATAAACATAAACTATTTTAACGTTTTACCTTAAATGCTTTTATATTTTATTAACAAGAGTTGTGTTGAAAAGGTAGCAGGGGAGAAGAGTCTGATCTTTCACAGGAAAAAAAGGATATGATGTTCTTATACATAATATAAATGATAAATGTTGTATCAAAACACACAAATGTGCTTGATGAATAATAGCCAGGGATATTTTAGGTGGTCATTCGCGAAGATACAAACAGGAACAGTCATTTAATGTTACTTTAGCAGACTTAGCAGACTTAGCAGTGTTACTTCTTTCTTTCAATTTTTTCAAACCTATCTGTTATGAGTTTTAACAAGTTTACTTTATGTTTTATAATCATCGCACCTTAATTTAAATAATGAACTTTTTAGCCATTGAAGTCTAAAAGTACTAAAGGTAGTTCTTACCGGCCATTGGATTTACCGCCGCGTCAACAAGGATTGAGATGGCAGGTGGTGTTCCATCTGGACAGTCCGGACTGAAGAACAGGGATTTCTGACACTGTGCTGCCTGTGCAGCCTCTCAGCAGCATGCTGTGGCTGCAGATCACAGGCAGACAGAGCTTTATAGAGTTAACAAGGCAACAGGTGGCCAATGAGGGCTGCTGTCACTGCACTGTGGATTGAACGTGGTATTAATCTGATTACAGTAAGTATGCCAGAAAACACTGTAGATGACATGAAGTCAGGTTTTTACAGCTTTGTATTCCCACCTGGAAAACCAAAACAGATGACAATGTTATGAGGAGCTACTGTTATTTACATCAGTTTTATGCTTTATATTCTGACTATGTTAAATTACATTGTCCCTTTTAAATAAATAAATGAAACAAATGAAGTTAATCTGCACCAATGAGCAAAATGTAATATAGAGCACCCTTGCGCTTCTAAACCACCCATTTAAAATAACATGTGTACGACTGGCTGCATTGTTACACCTGCATCAGTTATCACTGATATTTGCAGTTTATTATTTTCCGTCTATATTAGAAATATCACAGCTATCTGATCATTTGGTGTTGTGTCCTGGGTGTTTTTATTGTGATATTTCTGAAGTTAAAAAAGCAAATATTGTAGATTTGCCAAGTATTTGCAACTCATTAATTTTAAAATGCCCTGTATTATATAGCCAACTGCAAAGACAAGGATGAAGCTGGACAGATGTGCAAACTGCATTGGAGCACTGGAGGCATGGAGAAACTTTGGGCTCATGTACTGAGCATAAGTTTAATTTTCCAAAATTACTGAAGGTGTAAGGAAAGCAAAACACAAGTTCAGCTACAGGCCACTTGAAATGTCAAAACACCATTTTGTGTGTTTTCATTTTATTTTGTATGAAAGTGTGTATAAAACAAAACATAGGAAAGAGAAACACAGCTTACAGTGTGTTTGTTTCTACTATATGAAGTCAGTTTTGAGCAGATTTTAAACTACTAGCACCTTGTTTTCCATCTTATCTTCATTTCTTACCTTATTCCATACTTCCACGGCTCATTTATAAACTTTCCTGAAATGTTTGATGATGCTTTTTTTAAACTTTTGAACCTAAGTTTTGGTAACAGATTTTACTGACTTTGAACATGGTATGGTTGTTGGTGCCAAACAGGCTGGTCTGAGTATTTCAGAAAATGTTGATCAGATGGGATTTTCCCATAAAACCATCTCTAGGTTTTACAGAGAATGAAAAAGAAGAACTGGTGGGAGCTGATATAAAAGCAACGCTATCAAATTACCGTTTGTTTAAACCCAGGTATGCATGTGAGCATCTGAACACACGGCATGTCAAATCTTGAAGCAAGAAGTAACAGTTCGAGCTGGAAATGTTATATGATAGTGTTGGGGGTATTTTCATGGCACACTTAGTACGAACTGTGTATTGTTTACACACTATAGCCTAGCTGAGTATTGTTGCTGGACATGTCCATCTCCTTTCGATCACAGTGTATCCATTTTCTGATTCTTTTCTCAGCAAGGTAATGCACCATGACGCAAAGCTCAAATCATATCATTCTGGTATCTTCAATATAACGGTGAGTTCACTGTTCACACAGAGCACATTTATGGGATATGGTAGAACAGGAGATTCTCATCATGGATGAGCAGCAATTGTGTGATGCTATCATGTCAGTACGGACCAAAATCTCTGAGGAAAGTTTCCAGCACCATTCAATGGATCAAAAAGAAGTTCTGAAGGCATTTGGGGATCAAGGCTAGTACTAGCAAGGTGTACCCAATAAAATGTCCATTGAGCATATTTCCAAATCATTTCTAAGTTTTTTTTATAGTATTAAGTATTTCTGTCTTTTCTTTTTTAGACTCAACATGCAACTTCAGATTTCCAAGTAGTGCACTCTCACTCCTCACAGATTGTATCACTCTATCTCCACCTCAGCATTTATCTGTTGACTCTGACTATTTGTATAAAGGAGCTATTTTGCACATATCCTCCAGTCTCTGCTTCTGAATAAACTCCACATAAGAGGAGACATGTCCCTTTTTGGTTTCTCTAGAGTCCGGAAGCAGTGGGTGGAAGTGAAAGATAATGAGGCATCCAACAAGGGTTTCTTTTTTGTTATGTGAAGATGTGAGCAGATGCTAGTATGGAGTGCAAATACTACACTAGGTCTGATGAGAGTCAAGTCTCAATATTTTCAAAGTTGCTTTAAACAAGAATCTTATTGTCCAATAAAAATGTGAATTCTGTGACACGACTCCAGTCAAAAGAAAGAAAGGAAACATCCCCATCACAGTGTTCGAGGTTAAGAAGAAACACACATTCACACATGGCCTAA